AGACGGATGGAGGAGGAGGGAGGGAGGCGTAGCACCCCACCCCCTCCCCACCCCTCCCTCCCCCACCCCCTCACCCTCCCCCCACCTCCCCTCACCCCTTCACCCTCCTCCCCCTCTCACCCCCTCCTCCACCTCCCTCACCTGATATATGATAACTCGATCAACCTGGTTCACCGACGGAAGATGACGTCACTGAAGCCTCATTAACAGCCCTAACTATCCTTGACATGCAGCAGTAGTTCTTCAGCTGGTTTAAACTGTTGAGAATACCTGGCCAACAATGCCCTCTTATCATAGCTTCTATTAGGGTTGAAGGCATGTGTGTCCCCAGGAGGTCAGGGCTGTAGGGCATGTGTGTGTTCCCAGGAGGTCAGGGCTGTAGGGCATGTGTGTGTGTGTGTCCTGCAGGTCAGGGCTGTAGGGCATGTGTGTGTGTGTGTGTGTGTGTGTGTTCCCCTGGGAGGTCAGGGCTCTAGGGCAAGTGTGTGTCCCAGGAGGTCAGGGCTGTAGGGCATGTGTGTGTGTGTGTGTCGGGAGGTCAGGGCTCTAGGGCAAGTGTGTGTCCCCAGGAGGTCAGGGCTGTAGGCATGTGTGTGTCCCCCAGGAGGTCAGGGTTGTAAGGCATGTTTGTGTGTGTCCCCCAGGAGGTCAGGGCTCTAGGGCATGTGTGTGTCCCCCAGGAGGGAGACCCTATTATGTTGGTATAGAAGTGTGTTAAAGCAGAAGAGGTTGCAGCAGGAAGACAATAAGAAACTTTGTGTGAAATAAACAGTTAGAATCAAAGATAACAGTGTTAGGAGTTGGCTCAAATATCAAGGCAGAGCAGAGAGGCCTTCCAGCAACAAAAACAGCAGCGTTTACTCTCCCTGAAAAAACTCGCTGATGCAATTAAAACTAAAAAGAAAACAAAACCAAATGAGTGAATATCACATGGTAAAGAAAACTTAACATTTTGTTTGTATATATCATGGAACAGCTTATTTATTTTTATTTTAATACTACATGTGCTATTGAAACCCCAGTTGCTGGTGCATCAGAGATAAATCCTCTTGGTAAGTCTTAACTTTTTAATTCTCACACAATACAGTGCAGAAAAAGCTTACCTTTTAGTTTATCGTCTCTCAATAATGGTGCACAATTAAAGATATTAAACAAATTCAAGTTAAGTAATAACTATAATTTGTAAAGGCATTATTAAGACTATATGCATGAACAATATTATTGCAATAAACACATGTTTAATTTTGGGTACTGTGTATCTATCTAATATACTATAGGAATAGCCATGTGTGTGTGTGTGTGTGTGTGTGTGTGTGTGTGTGTGTGTGTGTGTGTGTGTGTGTGTGTGTGTGTGTGTGTGTGTGTGTGTGTGTGTGTGTGTGTGTGTGTGTGTGTGTGTGTGTGTGTGTGTGTGTGTGTGTGTGTGTGTTCTGGGCAGCCGAAACGGCACAATCGTTTTTCATCAAGCTTGGTGGAAAAATATCAAAAAATTCGTAGAGTGGAACAAACCTGGTCCCAAATCGATGGTTTCCTTAGGAAGGCATTAATTAACCATTTTGTCGCTGTACGCTGTCAGCTGGACGGCGGTTGCGCGCTAGCCAAGCACAAGCGTTCAAACTTTCACCTGGCACGAAGGGCATACGTTCACTTGTTTTAACAATTAGACATTCACAAAATAAGTAACAATGTGCGAAATTAAGTTAAATATTGTCAAAACTTCCCGGGTAGGTGTTCCCCTGACCCCCAGCTACTTTTGTTTTTATTTTTTTTTTTTCAAGACCCAATCACTTCCTTGATGATTATTATTATTATTATTATTATTATTATTATTATTATTATTATTATTATTATTATTATTATTATTATTATTATTATTATTATTATTATTATTATTATTATTATTATTATTATATTATTATTATTATTATTATTATTATTATCATCATTATCATTATCATATTATTATTATTATTATTATTATTATTATTATTATTATTATTATTATTATTATTATTATTATTATTATTATTATTATTATTATTATTATTATTATTATTATTATTATTGTCCTCAAGTTTATACATTGTTTTTCATGATTAAGAGAATACAAACCTGTGTTAAGTTGTGTACTGTGTGACTATTTTACCCATACAAGAACTTCTCACTCATGCTGAGGTCAAGTGTCACCGGTAACTCCGTCTCCTAAGTAACTAGAAGGATCTACAATGTTCAGATATTAAATGGGTAGCGGTGAATATATTGAGATCGCTCATTCATTTTCGACGACTCTGTACAGTATTCCGTACATAGATATCGTGACCATTCCTAGTGATGCTGTATTTTGGGGGTTCAGGTCAAGGGTCGAGGTATTTTTTTCTCAGAAGGTACTGTACCACTCTGCACCACTCAATACCTCACTCGAATGTAGTTTAATTTATCATGTTTTGTTGGCTATTGAATGACTATTTTGTTTTGTTAAACATAAGAACATAAGAATGGAGGAAACTGCAGCGGGCCTATTGGCCCATACTGGGCAGTCCCATTTACACCCAACCCCTATCGCTCATATATCCATCCAACCTATATTTGAAGCTATCCAGCTAGTTCTAGTTCATGATAATGTTAGGTAACTTGTTCCATTCATCCACTACTCTATTTCCAAACCAAAGTTTACCTGTCTCGCGCCTAAATCTATTTTCTTTAATTTAAAGCCACTGCTATGAGTTCGCTGCTGGTTGGATAATTTAAGTATCTTTATTATGTCGCCTTTGTTAGGCCTGACTTCCACTTATACCCTGTTGCCATATGGCATCACAAAAATTGTGACCAAGTCCCAGGTTGCTGATCTGACTTTCTGCCTCATTTACACACAATTGCAGGGTCTCAATTGTTCCTTTTACTATTGACAACACAACATACATATATCTTTTCTCACTCTTGATATATAGTTTTTTTATGGCTCTTTATTATTATTTTTTTTTTTTTATTATTATTATTATTTTCTTTTATTATAATTGTTATTTATTTGTATTTATTTTTATTAATTTTATTATTATCATCATCATCATCATCATCATCATCATCATCATCGTAATTATTATTATTATTTATATTTTCGCTCCCCAGGCCTTGATGTGGGTCATTAAAAATGACCTGTGCCCGGGTGGGCTACTGCCCGAAAAAAATAAAAATACACCTCGATCATATCGCCACTGACTCTACGTCTCTTGGGGGAGCGCAGATTCAGATTCTTTAATCTGTCTCTGTACTCAAGGTTCCTTATTTTTACTTTTATCCTCTTCGCCACTGATCGGCTTGTTAGCCGCTTGGGCGATCGGTCACGTCTCTTTTCCTTTATATTCTTCACCAAAAGGTCGGCTCGCTAGTCGCCCGGGCGATCGGTCACGTCTCTGTCACGCACTGTTGGCAAATACTGGGCATGCACCGGCTCCTGAATGTACCTGAACCCGCTCCAGTGTAGGTCAAGTCTTCTCTTGAAAGAGCTCACACTCGGTGCCGTCACAACACTCTCTGGTAGATTGTTCCAAGAGTTTACAACCCTCACTCCGAAAAAGTTTGCCCTCACGGTTTTCCGGACTTGCGGCTTCTTCAATCTTGAGCTGTGACCCCTTGTGACCTCAACTAGGTCCCCCCTTGCCCGTCTGTAGTATAAGCTAGGCAAGTTCAGGCGCTCCAATCTCTCAGGGTAGCTGAGATGCCGAAGTGCAGGCACCAGTTTGGTGGCTGCCAGGGATTAGTCTTGTCATTCTCCTCTGTATGCTTTCTAGGGATTGTAGATCTATTCTGTGAAGTAGGGTAACCAACTGAACTGCATAATCCAAGTGAGGTCTCACAAGTGCAAGATATAGTTTTAGGATAACCTCGCTAGTCTTGTAACTAACACTCCTTTGTATGAACCCAAGTACTTTGTTAGCCTTGTTTCGAACAAATACACATTGTTGACTTGGCATAAGATTCCTACTTATCATTACCCCTAAATCTTTCTCACAGTCGGATTTCTCTCCATCAATGTTGTTCATCTGATATCTGGTTTCTCTGTTTACATCTCCTCGACTAAGTACTTTACATTTGTCCACATTAAATTTCATCTGCAAATTTCAGACCATGCGAATTTTGTTTAGATCTTCCTGTAGTTTTGCGGAGTCCTCGTCAGACTTAATTACATGCCCTAGTTTAGTGACGTCAGCAAATTTACTTATGTTGCTGTTTTCGCCTATATCTATGTCGTTTATGTAAACAATAAGTAATAATGGTCCAAGTACTGGGCCTTGGGGTACTCCATTAGTGACGCTACTCCAATCGAATTTAGTGTCATTAATGCATATTGGTCTTTCGTGGGGACTCTGTCGAAGGCTTTGCTAAAGTTGAGGTATATCACATCATAATCTTATCCATCATCCACTGATAGAAAAACAGTTAAAAAGAATGTTAATAGATTTTTCAGACATGAACGCCCACTTGTGAAGCCATGCTGGGAATCATTGATCAATTTGTGTTTCTCGAGTTGATTTCGAATTGAGTTAGAAATGATTGCTTCCAGTTATTTGCCTACAATTGATGTTAAGCTAATTGGACGGTAGTTAGAGGATGGTCAATTGGTCATCTGTCTCCCTTCTTGAAAATCGGTATCACATTCGCTATCCTCCAGGATTCTGGTACTACCCCGTTTTTAATGATATGTTAAACAAGTTTGCTAAGGACATACTAAGCTCTTCCTTACATTCCTTTAATATTCTGGCAAATATCTCATTGGGACCTGATGACTTATAAGGTTTTATTTTATCTATTTGTTTACAAACATCGTTACTAGTGACTACTATCTCGCTTAATCTATTTTCTTCCCTATTTGTGTAGATATAAAAGTGTGAAGGTTATAGTCAGCCGGTTACTGCTGACGTGTTCTGCCCCAACAGGAGGTATAGTGTAGTGTAGTGTAGTATGTCAGGCAGCCAACACTGACGTGGTCTTCCCCCCTACAGGAGGCGTACCGGTACTGGGTGTGCTCGCAGCTCTTCCCCTACTACGTGGACGGCATCAGAGTCAAGCCGTGTCGGCGATTTTGTCACGACGTGGAGCAGAAGTGTCCTTACTTCCTCCCCAAGGATAAACCTGTGGCTGGAGAGCCTACCTTTCTCTGTCAGGGTAACGCCGCCACTCTTATGCTACCTTAACTAGTCGCATGTCACGCTTGTGTCCCTGCCGTGCACTGTAACTATTATGTTACCTTAACTTGTCGCATGTCACGCTTGTGTTCCTGCCGTGCACTGTAACTATTATGTTCCCTTAACTAGTCGCATGTCACGCTTGTGTTCCTGCCGTGCACTGTAACTATGATGTTACCTTAACTAGTCGCATGTCACGCTTGTGTTCCTGCCGTGCACTGTAACTATGATGTTACCTTAACTAGTCGCATGTCACGCTTGTGTTCCTGCCGTGCACTGTAACTATGATGTTACCTTAACTAGTCGCATGTCACGCTTGTGTTCCTGCCGTGCACTGTAACTATTATGTTCCCTTAACTAGTCGCATGTCACGCTTGTGTTCCGTTCATAAACCCTCACTCTGATGTAGGTGAAAATGCTTAGTATTTTCGCGATACATCTGTGATAACATGTGCGCGCGGCTCCTTCTTGTGGAATACCTTGGCACTTTATATGAGTGACATGAAGCACTGGTGTTAATAATGTCTGCTTACTGTGACAAGGTGTTCTCTATCACCTGAAGGTCACCCCACCTTATATCACTGATGATTAAACACTTTAATGCTTACCTTACCTTGCCTTACCTTACCCCACCCCAACCCACCCCACCCACCCCACCCAACCTCATAACATTACATAACAAGACATAACCCCTTTAGGTAGTGTTAGATTCTTTAATCATCATGTGATATAAGCTGGGGTGCCTAATATTCATCTGATCCAGTATTCTTACTATGGGCTTATCCAGCTTGCCATTTCCAGCTTAGTGTCAGCTTACTGTCAGAAGGCATTTGTAGTACTTTCGTATCCGACTTGATATTTTTAGTTCCCACTGTTATTGTCAGCTTACTGTCACAGCATAAATGCAATTTTGCACACTTTCTGTAGTCGTCAAAGTCTTAGAGAGGTAACACGTGATGATCTGTGCTAAACTTGATGCATGTTTTCATCAGTTTCCCCTCGACGCTCTGCAGGTTTTCTATGTATAGCTGCATACCTCACTTTATATACGGTGTTCTACAATATAAAATTTATATAATGGACATTTCTTCAACACGTAAGTTGTGGCATTGGTTCATATTGTGATATTCAAGAAGAAATATTAATAAATAGTTCATGTTGTGCGTAATCTCACCAGTGCACTGTACAGCTTACACAAGTCACTCACTCGCTCGATGCCTTTCAAAAATTTACATTTCATTTCTTTTTCTATTTGCTATTTTCTGTACAACTGAAGTACAATGCATGTGACACCAATCAGGTCAGTACAAACATATGTACACTCTCTTGGCCATACCGAACCGTGGTAGGTTATTGGTGCACTTTTTAAGAATTCTTAGGAAAACACGAATAAATAAATAGGTTGAAAAAAATAGAAAATGTGTGTGTGTGTGTGTGTGTGTGTGTGTGTGTGTGTGTGTGTGTGTGTGTGTGTGTGTGTGTGTGTGTGTGTGTGTGTTACATCCTAAGAATTTTGTAGTTTACTTAGACATATCAAGAGATAATTAGTTGTTAACATATTCTACGAGATGTATACAGCAGTTTACTTAACATATACAGTACATGACATAATGATCAGCCTGGACATACAACACTTACACTTAATATATTATTTACTAAGATGAGTCACACTAAACTCCTGCCAACACCGTGTCACCATAATAAATGTCATCTCTGGCATAGTAGTGTGCCTGTCAATGTCATCTCTGTCATGTATTGTGCCTGTCAGTGCCATCTCTGTCCTGTAGTGTGCCTGTCAGCGCCATCTCTGTCATGTATTGTGCCTGTCAGTGCCATCTCTGTCCTGTAGTGTGCCCGTCAGTGCCATCTGTCCTGTAGTGTGCTCCGTCAGTGCTATCTCTGGTTCCAGTAGTGTGCCCCAACAGTGTCATCTCTGTTCTGTAGTGTGCCTGTCAGTGTCATCTCTGTCCTGTAGTGTGCCTGTCAGTGCCATCTCTGTCCTGTAGTGTGCCTGTCAGTGCCATCTCTCACATACTCTGCCTGTCAGTGCCATCTCTGTCCTGTAGTGTGCCTGTCAGTGCCATCTCTGTCCTGTAGTGTGCCTGTCAGTGCCATCTCTGTCATGTAGTGTGCCTGTCAGTGCCATCTCTGTCATGTAGTGTGCCTGTCAGTGCCATCTCTGTCCTGTAGTGTGCCTGGTGCCATCTCTGTCCTGTACTGTGCCTGTCAGTGCCATCTCTGTCCTGTAGTGTGCCTGTCAGTGCCATCTCTGTCCTGTAGTGTGCCTGTCAGTGCCATCTCTGTCCTGTAGTGTGCCTGTCAGTGTCATCTCTGTCCTGTAGTGTGCCCGTCAGTGCCATCTCTGTCCTGTAGTGTGCCTGTCAGTGCCATCTCTCTCCATTACTCTGCCAGTGCCATCTCTGTCCTGTAGTGTGCCTGTCGTGCCATCTCTCACATACTCTGCCTGTCAGTGCCATCTCACATACAGTGCCTGTCAGTGCCATCTCTCACAGTGCATGTCAGTGCCATCTCTCACATACAGTGCCTGTGGTGCCATCTCTCACATACAGTGCCTGTCAGTGCCATCTCTCACATACAGTGCCTGCCAGTGCCATCTCACATACAGTGCCTGTCAGTGCCATCTCTCACATACAGTGCCTGTCAGTGCCATCTCTCACATACAGTGCCTGCCAGTGATCTCTCACATACAGTGCCTGCCAGTGCCATCTCTCACATACAGTGCCTGCCAGTGCCATCTCTCACATACAGTGCCTGCCAGTGCCATCTCTCACATACAGTGCCTGCCAGTGCCATCTCTCACATACAGTGCCTGCCAGTGCCATCTCTCACATACAGTGCCTGCCAGTGCCATCTCTACATCAGTGCCTACCAGTGCCATCTCACATACAGTGCCTGCCAGTGCCATCTCTCACATACAGTGCCCGTCAGTGCCATCTCCTCACACACCTGCCCGTCAGTGACATCTCTCATATACTGTGCCTGTCAGCGCCATCTCACACACCTGCCGGTTATCTCTCACATGCCACAGTGCCTGTCAGTGCCATTCACATACAGTGCCTGTCAGTGCCATCTCTCACATACAGCCTGCTGGTGCCATCTTCTCACACAGTGCCCGTCAGTGCCATCTCTCACATACAGCACCGCCGGTGCCATCTCTCACATACAGTGCCTGTCAGTGCCATCTCTCACATACAGTGCCTGCCGCGCCATCTCTCACACATGCGCCTGCCGGTGCCATCTCTCACATACAGTGCCTGCCAGTGCCATCTCTCACATACAGTGCCTGCCGTACATCTCACATACAGTGCGCCCGCCAGTGCCATCTCACATACAGTGCCTGCCAGTGCCATCTCACATACAGTGCCTGCCAGTGCCATCTCACATACAGTGCCTGCCAGTGCCATCTTCACATACAGTGCCCGCCAGTGCCATCTCTCACACACAGTGCCCGCCAGTGCCATCTCTCACACACAGTGCCCGCCAGTGCCACATCTCACATACAGTGCCTGCCAGTGCCATCTCTCACACACAGTGCCTGCCAGTGCCATCTCTCACATGCAGTGCCTGCCAGTGCCATCTCACATGCAGTGCCTGTCAGTGCCATCTCACATACAGTGCCTGCCAGTGCCATCTTCACATACAGTGCCTGCCAGTGCCATCTTCTCACATACAGTGCCTGCCAGTGCCATCTCTCACACAGTGCCTGCCAGTGCCATCTCACATACAGTGCCTGCCACTGCCATCTCTCACATACAGGGCCTGCCAGTGCCATCTCACATATGCCCGCCAGTGCCATCTCACATACAGTGCCTGCCAGTGCCATCTCTCACATACAGTGCCTGCCAGTGCCATCTCTCACATACAGTGCCTGCCAGTGCCATCTCTCACATACCGTGCCTGCCAGTGCCATCTCTCACATACAGTGCCTGCTAGTGCCATCTCTCACATACCGTGCCTGCCAGTGCCATCTCTCACATACCGTGCCTGCCGGTGCCATCTCTCACTTAGTTTGCTTCTTTTATTCTTGTCACGAGGAATGGTTGTACAGTGTCGTGTGAACGTGTGGTGTAAGTGTGTAGTGAAAGTATTCGTGTAGGCACACATCAACAATAACAAACACACAACACACACACACACACACACACAGGTTCACAGCCATGCACGTATACACAGTCTCTCTCTCTCTCCTGTTTATCAGTTTATTGAAGACCTCACGAATTTATGCTTTACCCGCTAAGGTGAGTGTAAGTGAAGAGTCTTCGACTGTTTCTATAAATACCTGCAGGAGTGTGGGACAAAGGCCGATGAGGCATGGTGGGGATACAGCCTTGTGGAGGGCGTCGTGGGCTATCTCACCAATCTGGTCTGGTCCACCCGCTTCTGTTATTCACACACACACACACACACACACACACACACACAAGCAGGTTCAGTCTCAAACAATAAAAACGCGAGTGTGTTTAGTCTCTCTCACACACACACATACAAACAAACAACGTAACATCCAATCCCTTATCCTCAGACAACGACACACCAAGCAGCCACCACAGCATCACTCAGCATCGCCACAGCATCACATCACAGCATCACATTACAGCATCACTCATCATCTCCACATCTTCATACCACAACATCAAACCTCAACATCACCACAGTATCACTCAACATCTCCACATCATCGCACCACACTATCGCTTAGCATCGCCACAGCATCACAGCACATCACACTACAGCATCACACAACAGCATCACTTCAGCATCACAACAACATCACAATACAACATCACTTCAGCATCACCACAACATCACCTCACCACCTCCACAACATCACACTACAGCATTACCTCAGCATCTCCACAGCATCATACCACAACTTCACACTACATCACCTAAGCATCTCCATAACATCACACCTCAACATCATCACACCACAATATCACTTCAGCATCACCTCAACATCACCACAACACCACACTATTACATCACTTCAGCATCACCACAACATCACCTCAGCGTCTACACAACATCACACTGCACCATCACCTCAATATCTCCACATCACACTGCACCATCACCTCAATATCTCCACATCACACCACAGCATCACCTCAATATCTCCACATCACACCACAGCATCACCTCAATATCTCCACATCACACTGCACCATCACCTCAATATCTCCACATCACACTGCACCATCACCTCAATATCTCCACATCACACCACAGCATCACCTCAATATCTCCACATCACACTGCACCATCACCTCAATATCTCCACATCACACTGCACCATCACCTCAATATCTCCACATCACACTGCACCATCACCTCAATATCTCCACATCACACCACAGCATCACCTCAATATCTCCACATCACACTGCACCATCACCAATACACATCACACTGCACCATCATTCCACATCACACTGCACCATCACCTCAACAACATCACACCACAGCATCACCTCACATTCCACATCACACTGCACCATCACCTCACATTCCACATCACACTGCACCATCACCTCATTCCACATCACACTGCACCATCACCATTCCACATCACACCACAGCATATCTCCACAACATCACACCACAACATCACCAGCCTCTCCACAACATCACACAACAGCATCACCTCAGCATCTCCACACCACAGCATCACCACAACATCACCACAGCATCACTCAGCATCACCACAACATCACACCACAGCATCACCCAACATTCCACATCACACCACAGCATCACCTCACATTCCACAACATCACACCACAGCATCACCTCAGCCTCTCCACAACATCACACAACAGCATCACCTCAGTATCTCCACAACATCACACCACAGCATCACCACAACATCACACCACAGCATCACCTCAGCATCACCACATCATCACACCACAGCATCACCTCAATATATCCACATCACACCACAGCATCACCTCAGCCTCTCCACAACATCACACCTCAGCATCACCACGACATAACTCTCTACTGTACAGTGTGACCAGAATGATAATGACCATCTGATGTTCGGCAAAATGATCTAATGTCACGCTGAAGTGTGAAATAGTGTGAAATTAATATCAGTTGTTATGCTAACTGTTAGTTTTAACACCTGGTCTTTTTGCTTCAGGTGTTTGATTTATCGGTGTTGTGGTGGTAATTATCTTACTGTTAGTTTTAACAGCTGCGTATTTCAGCGTCAGATGTTTAGGGTATTAGGATTATGTGAGGATCAGATCATGTAAATTAGGGTGGAGAGACAGTTGCTGACTGCAAAACAATTTTTTGTCCTGAAAGACAAATTTATCAGCCTGGATGACGTGACTAATACCTGTCGACTTTGCAGACCCGAAGATCGGCGAGCTGGAGGAGCAAGAGTCCTCGTACGGCCCCGACTCGTGTTGTTACCACACCTGCCCTACACACCAGGTGATGGGCGTCGTCGTCAATGAGATCCCGGAGCACGAGCCCCTTCCTACCCTGTGCTCCACCTGCCACAGCTCCACCTCCACCACCTCCTCCAGCACTACCGCCTCCACTACCACTACCTTATCCTCTTCTTCCAGCAGCGGCGACGCCAGCACCTCGTCGTCCGGCTCTCCTCCGCGCCCACTAGACCAGCACAAGGCCAACCACTCACAGTGTCTTTCAAGCAGCGGCGCGGACTCTTGTTTACTTCCCTCACACCCTAGCCCGGTTTCTCCGTTAAGCAGTGCCAGCTGCTCAGTTATATCCAGAAAACATTGTTGGACTCGTACAGCGTTATGTATATTGTTGTTATATTTAGTGCGAACTCGTGTCTTGCTGCCGCGGGGGTTCACCTAGTGACTGGCGTCCATATCGTGTGATGTAGGGAGTCTTTACCGGCCCCCCTCACCCCCTGACTGACCCCTTCCGCCCCTTTCCCCCTTCCCCTCTCCCGCACTGTTGTTACCGTTGAACCAGCTTTCCCTTTGGCGTGTCAATGACTTCCTCCTTCGGTGTGTCAGTTACCTCCTCCTTCAGTGTGTCAGTTACCTCCTCCTTTAGTGTGTCATTGACCTCCTCCTTCAGTCTGTCAGTGACCTCCTCCTTCGGTGTGTCAGTGACCTCCACTTTCAGGGTGTAAGTGACCTCATCCTTCAGTGTGTCAGTTACCTCCTCCTTCAGTGTGTCAGTTACCTCCTCCTTCAGTGTGTCAGTTACCTCCTCCTTCAGTGTGTCAGTGACCCCTCAGTGTCCTTCCGACACCGCTGTCACACAGGTCATTCTTCTCAAGAGCTTATAATAATGAGCCAGGGTCCTTCTCCAGCAGGGGCAGGGGCTCCTCCTCCTCCTAGCCAAACCCTTTATTGATACCCTTTCTTCCGCTTTCCTCCGGTACTACCCTCGAATCTCCACTCCCTGAAATTATATAATTTCCTCCCTTGAATTTAATTAAAACAGATCGAGCTTTGATGCATGGCATTTGGCTCTTATGGTTTAGGCATCCAGCTAAGCAGTTTTCTCTCCAAATTTAACTCATATTTTGTCCCACTCCTCTTGCTTCCTCGGCCAAGAGGCATTTATTTTTATCGTGCCAAGGATAATGTGTGCGCGCCGCCCCTCACTGCTTCCTGTGGCACACTGTCTCACACTCCAGGATATCCACTCACCCCCCTCCTGTACCGACGATGCCTCCTGCCTGTTCACTCAACCCCTCCCGCTCTTACATGTGTCCTCATCTACTTAACCTGTGTTTTATTAAGGCTCCCCCTCTGCCCCTTGCCCCTGCCTTACCTACTAAGCCCCGAGCAGCCCTCCCCTTCCCTCCTCTGGCCACTTCACGTGCCGAGTATGCTAACAGGGGGACCCCGGTTGATCGTATGTGCTGGGTGAACGCCCCGACAGGTGTACCTCTTGGATGAATTAAGTGAATACTTGTAAGAGATGAATAACTGAGTGCGTCCAGTCCCCCAGCCCTGTAGAAGGTGTGGAAAAATGAACGAGATTACCCATCACCATTTTAGAAAACAGGTGTCATCGTCTTTTGGAAAAAATTAAACATATCCTACTCAAGTTTTAAGTCTTATACTTGCAATATGACTTACGCCAAAATTCTCGAGCCCTTCTTGCTGCAACCTTCCCAAGGATTGAAACTTCTCGTGTCTTATAATTAATGGAATATAAATCAACACAGTGCACTACTTTGGATACTAGGTAATGGTCAGTGTCAAGCCCTAACTTCCCTAAACTAAGGCAGCACATTAAAAGAAAAAAAAAGGTGCCTGGGAACTCAACGATTCGTGTTTTCAACCAAGCTATTTCTTAGGTGTTGCTAAGAAGAGTTCCAGAATTAAGGCAAGTTAGTGCGACCATAAAGGATTACTCTGCAAGCAAGACGAGTGGAGGCATCAGCAGCAGCAGCAGCAGCATCATTAGCAGGTCCTAGCTGCAACAGTTGCAGTTTAAGGACAGACAATCACTGTGCTAAGTTGTGCCATACGGTCCCACACACTTCGTCGCTCCTCACCTATTATTTAGTCTCACTCTAATTCCCAATATTTGTTATACTCCCAGATATATTTTTAGAATCGTAGCTGTGTTGGATAACTATATAAATAATAAAAAATGAAAATATTTCACAAGGCTTGATAAAAGTTTACTCCAGAGGTTAGACCGAACCAATTTCATACCGGCCACACAGAGGTTCTTGTTGTGAAGGTCTTATCAATTGTACGCACACTTTACATCTTTCAATAGAAATAGAAATGTGGCAATTTATAATTAACTATTTTTCCTAAAAGATGTACTGTAAATGCTATATAATATTTTTGATAGATTCTTCCAGGAAGAAGCTATTGTCATTGCACTCTCCTATTGTCTTTGTTTACAAGAGATTCTACACTTCCTGTTGTCAGCATCGGGAACTTTATGGTATTTATTTAGCATTATTAAGGTATTATTATTAAGCATTATTTTACTAATCATCATCAACTGTGTTTATGAAAGTGTATTTTAGTGTCTTAATGTGCAACCTCATAAGTTTTGATTCTATGCGAGAGAAAAACATAACTGAAGTAACTCATCTAAGTCAGGTTTGGTTATTGTTTCTGGTGTTACTCTGTGTCGTGTATCCTCTCAGTCTTCCTCCTACTCTAGTTCTCTGTCCTTATTCTTTTTCCCTTTATCTCTACTAGGCTATCTTCTACCTCGTTGTCACCAGACTTCAATTCTCGCATTTATCTGCCCACTTTTAATTCCACTTTCTCGTGTTTAAACTATAATTTCACGCCTGTTATCCCTTATTATCTTCCACGATGATGGCCTTGGGGTGGGCACCTTGTATCAGTCTTAAGTAACTCTAAGGAAAGACCAAATCCGCGGGCGAATTCGGGTGTCACACAATATGTAGTTGGCTCTCAGATATGCACAAGCCTTCTGGCCAACTGTTTTTTATAAACAAACTTTCCATTTAGCTGGTGAATGTATACAAGCCTCCTAGTTAATCCAATAATCCGACATGATTTTAGTCAGCATCATAGTTCATAACTTGGTAACCATATTGTTATTATAACTGTTAACGCAATTTTTATTATTACTTTTAGCCGTTATTAATACTGCATAAATTTATTCTTTCTTTTAAATACTGTATATGAAAAATTATAAATATTCGGAGTGTTCCGTAATACCTTTCATAAATCAGGGGTGTATTCGTGAGTCATAAATAAAGATAATGACTAAATGACCAAATTGTCAATTCTCCATAATTTCCGAGTAACAGCACATGACAGGTTTGGTAGGAATGTGATGAAACCTATATGGGGTGTAAATGAAACGTCCTCTGTTGTTAGTGACGTTTATTAACAGTAACTGTAGGTTATGTATATAAGCTACTGTGCCGAGTAGCAACCCTGTATATAAGCTACTGTGCCGAGTAGCATTTATATATATTATCACGTGGCAACATTGCCCCGAGGCTGCCATATATAAATGCTACTCGGCACAGTAGCTTATATACAGGGTTGCTACTCGGCACAGTAGCTTATATACATAACCTACAGTAACAATGCCATATGATATGTACTGTATTTACATTTAGAGCAAATATTCAAAGTTCCGCCCCTCTTGATCTGACTTCAACCCGTCGCACAGGTGACTCGCGCACGTTCAAAAACCCCAGTGATGTTGTGAATGTTTGTCACACTGTCCCGTTTGTCAAACGGTTTGGGATCTCTGTAACATACACCTTGCTTTCCATGTGACCCCACAGGTAGAAATCAAGGGGATGTATATCAGGTAACCGTTAGTTTCATAACTCCTACCAAACCTGCCATGTGCTGTGTAACTCCGAAATTATCGGGAATTGACACTTTTGTAATTTAGTCATTTATCTTTATTTAAGTTTCAGGAATACATCCCCTGATTTATGAAAGGCATTACTGAACACTCTGTATATATATATATATCTATATATATAGGGGCAAGTGACATTACAGGTCAGGTGAAGGCAGACAGCAGTAGGGTTGGTGTCTGCTGCTCACCATCAGATGTCCGTTTTTTGGTCATTTTTATTTAACTCATTTAACTGTATAAGGTTTATCACGTACTATCTTACTGTCAATCTTGCCAATAAGTTAAAGCAGCCATTATTTTAAGGTACAGAGGATTGTGTGGTTGAAAAATGGTGTATGGAACCAGTGAACCAAGTAATGGTCTTTAACACAAGAGCTCACACCTCACGTTAACAGGTAATAACGTTGTACCATCACCTCATACTATGACACAAACGACCTCATTTCACTAGTGGCGCTCTAGAACTTACTGAGCGCTTCTGGCATCAACGACACAAGTGACGTTCAGACGCTAGTGGTGTTATAACGGTATTAGTATTATGTGACTTCAAGGAGCAAGGACACGATGCACCACTCCTGTCTAGCACAAACAAACACACCAGACGACTGTCCAACATTATAACTTTTGTCACTGATAATTGCTTGACAAAGTACTGACCCACGACACACTGTCAGGAACATGGGCCTGTGATATTTACTATATTAGTAACACAGTATTTGAAGATTATTGGAATACATGATCCCTGACCTGACACTCTGCAACATTAGACAGGAATCTACTTTTTTTTTTCATTATTGTTTTTCATATACTGTATGGTTAAGCATCAGAAACCACCAGAGGCAGTGGCGTGAATATGGGGGGAGAGGGTAGTAGGAGACATGACTGGAGTGACATGCCTCCGGTGCCTTGACACATGTTCAAGTCCGAGGGTTGTGTTTGTCATGACTAATGTTTAGTCTCGTTGATGTGTTTGTCATAATAGATATTTAGACTTTGGTGGATGTGTTGGTTTCATGACAGGTGTGTAGGCCCGATGGTTCTGAGTCGTGACAGATGTATAGATCGGTAAAGCTTTCTCATAACAGGTGCATAGACGCGGTAATTCTGGTTTATGGTAATATTTTTTTTTTCTTAACTGTAGAGCAGGACCTCACTCACTACATGACAAGAGAGAGCTAAGTCTATCACTGGTTTCCCTCTTGTTACCTCTGCTGCAATTTTGTTACAGTTTTCCAGGCGACTGATTGTTGATATGTTTTATATTAGTTTTCCATGCCCGCAGTTTTAAGATTTATAAATGTAAGAACTGTACACGAGATAAAAAAAATTCAAGTTCGTAAGGTTTTCTTTTCGTAAGGTAGTGTCATGGCTAAGCTACTCTCAGGCATTGGTATATTTGTTCCTCATCATCTGTCTACCTGTCGTAAAGCCTCCCCCCTACAAGAGTAAAAAATGTCAGTTTTAATGTTTGAGGTTCCATTTTTCGCCTTTCTACTACCCGAATTCGCCTGCAAGAAATTTAAATAAACAAATTTTGGAGACAATTACCGCTGAGAGAGATGAGGTCTGTCAGCACCACTAAATGATGCCTTAGTGGTCAGGCGCAGCACGGAGTACCATTGATGTGGAATATGACTTACAGTATTTTGATTACCCATTCGTCCCAATCCAGAACCCGGTACCCTAACCACCCACCCGACACTAACACTCTCTCTCTCTCTCTCCTCCCTTCTCACACTGTATTCACTGTATAGTATGCCTCTGTTTCCTTGTGTTGCCTCTACTCTCCCACCTGTTCCATCATCTCACTGAGTCAACTCTCACTCACACACAGTATCACCCCGTGTTGCTCCAGACTACAGGAGAGCAAACTTAATACACACGTTGAAAGATTCATCTCTGCCCAAATGTGGAGATTATCGTTGTGCATAGAGCGAATATTACGTTCTGTAAAAGACGCGTTCACTATAAGATGAACGTAAAGTTTTTTTACATGTTGAAAAACGGGTCTGTCAGTTATAAAAATAAAAATTTACTTTTATAATAAATGTCCGCCAAACAATCATGCAAATTTCTCAACATACGTCTTAACAAACTAACATGTAGGTTATGAATCATGTTTGTAGCAAAACTGATATTTAACTTTTGCAAAAAACAAAAAAATTATGCATCGATACAGCGTTATATATCATTTTTTTACATAAACATTATGTATATAATAATGCAAAGATTGTTTTTGTTTTTTCAAAGTTGTATATGTGTTAAAATATATACGAACTCCTACACTGTGCATATATCAAAAAATAGTACTTGGGTAAGATGATATCTGTTAAAACTACGAAGAAACGCTTTTAAATTTCCAGAAATTAACAGTGGTTATTTCGTAGCCAACAGGAGGTTCTGTTGGGTTCTCCATCTGCTCTTACATCCATCATCAGTTACGGCAGTCATGCCTGAGCCGTAAACCTAGGACATAGTATTGACAGTCAACACTAGGCCTTAAATTTGAGATATAGTTTGACTGTGTGTGACATAACTCATCATATGACAAGACACCGTAGACGTCAGTGTTGTAGACACTCCACCACACACATAGTAACAACGTGCTCGTATACAGTACACTATCCCGGTGTTGATATCACACAATGAATGGTTCGTTGGGCAGTTGCGTGATCTCAGGTTGGCCCAGATGTTGATGTGTCCCCCTGCAACACTGTGTCAGCTGGTATGGGGGTGTGGTGTCGGCACTAACTGACGGTAAAAGTTAATACTCCTCGTCAACAAGTCTCTTAACCTAAAGTTATACTGTATTTGGTAATATTATGAACGTGCATTACTAAATCCTCCAGTCAACTATTATTTGATTGTTTTTCTTCTGTCTTAAATTTCTGTTAGAAAAACGCCATGAACAGTTTAGAGAATATTGTATCGGGCTGTTTATTTATACCATCACAGTGCCACTTCCTCAGTAAACCTCACATTACTGTGTTTGTACTCCAATATTTTTCTGCTAAGATGAAGACAATATAAAGTAAACCTACCTCAGGCCTTGACCTTCTGCTGTTGTGGTTATGTTAAAGTTTTTTTTAAAGTACTGTACTCTCATAAGACAAAATTTGGTTAGGTGTCTGACGTTGTTCTTTTAACACTATACAGTACAGTACAGTACAGTACGGTACGGTACGGTATTTAGTGTAATCTCCTCAACACATTGGGTGCTGTTACTAAAATGTACACCATATTCAAGGGATACCAATCTATTATTTAACATTTTATGAAGATAATTCTCGTTTTAAAATAATTACTTCTATTACCTCATGTTTATACTGTATACAGTAGTTTACTCGATATTTTAAGACGGGAGAAATTAATGTTTTATATTATTCGTTTGAATGCTGAATTATCAATATTTTATTGTTTTCAGATATTTTAAAGGTAATTGTAATATGAAAATAGTATGTAATACATTTGACCATTTATGTGTTAAGGTGCAGTAGGCTTCATGTGTGAGGAGATACTTTGCATACATTACTTGTATATTGAATCAGACTTTACATAGAACATTTATTTGTATTTACCATAGACTTACAACTGTACAAAGGCAAGTCAAACTCCAGATACAACGTATCAAATATAAGCAAGTCTTTTTTCCTCTGTACACACATCTGTATATTTTTAGTTTGCCATTTTCCAAGTTTGTGTTTGTTTTGAAATCTCAAATTAACGTTTTTTGCTCATGAAATACTTTTAAAATAGTTCGATGCCCAAAATTACCATGATCATAAAGAGCCTTTGATTATAGAACAAAAATATACTCCATAGGGTTTTACTGTGTTTATTAGAGTACAGTACAACAGTATACACAGCTCCGTTGTTCTACAGCAACACTAAGTCAACTCGGAGCTTGCACGACAGACCAGTACTCACCACAACACGTAATATGACACTCAAGTAACAATATACTCACTTCAAAGCCGATGAACTAAGCACCCACACACACTGATGTTCCTAAACACTCACGACTTAGCCAAGGTGACACATACACTCAAGACACAGCAACACTAACGATACACAGGCGCCTGTCAACAACGATAGCACATCTAGGATATACAGTGATCACATCAGATGTAATCTACAAAACCTATATTTTCTGTGCCCTTTCAGAACTCCTCCCGCGGTAGCAGGATTCAGGAGTGAACACCGACTCCCCTTCCATACGCTATTATCACATGTGTTCAGATCACCGTTTAGTTTACCCCTGTCACATCATACATACCGCTCACAATAGTCAACACACCATCAACAACCAAAAAATACGTTCATGCGTTTTTATTGACATGTTCTTAGATGAAAAAATAAATTTAATGTAGACTTTCTGACATTACCAAAGTAATTTCTCGAGCATTTAGACTAACACTTGCAGAATTCCTAACATTGCAACTGATTAGTGCCACGCTAAGTAAAAAAAAAATCCCCGGTTTAATTGAATTCACATAATTGGCTTCTGTGAGATGAAATTGGGTAGTGATAAACGATTGTCATTTGTTTTACCGTCTAGACCATTATCAAATTGTTGAAGAACCGAAGCAACCATTTGT